TAACAGAGACACCCTGACCTCAAAAGTAGCTCTGACTAGTCTTGGAGCAGCTGTGATTGGTGGGTCTTGGATCATACCCCCATCTTTCACATGAACTGTGGTCACAGAGAGCTTCTATATCATATGCCCATCCTTGGAAGAGAATGGAGTGGGGGCCGCTGAGGGGTCAGGACTGGCACCAGTCCAGCCACCTGAATGAAACAGAATCGCATGGCCTGCGAGAAGTGTGGTTCCATAAAGCAGTGCTGGCGGTCCAGAACCATGGGGCATCCCAGCTGATGGAAGGAGTTCATGCGCTGAAACACTGTACTAGTTAACAAGCAGTGATGAGCTGTGGTGTATTAACCCCAAAGATGCCTGTGGCGCATTTGTAAGTGAAAAAAAGTTTACAAAAGAGTAGGTATAGTAGGATCCAGTTTTGATTTGAGTATTTATTTAAAAAAAATCCATGGGTTGCTTGGGTGGCTCATTCAGTTAAGCCTCTGACTCTTGATTAGGCTCAGATCATGATCTTGGGGTCCTAGGATTGAGCCCCATGTCGGGGTGGGGGGGGGTCCTTTCTCAGCAGGAAGTCTACTTGAGGATTTTCTCTCTGTCTCTCCCTCTGCCCCTACACACTCCCACATGTGCTCCCCCCAAAATAAATTAGTAAATCTTATTTAAAAATCTAGTAATAATGGTTATTTCTAGGGGATAAATGATCTGTTATTTTTCTTATATCTTTTTCTATTGTCTGAAAAAAAAATTTTACACAGAGGATCTATTTCTGTTATAATTGGAAAACCTAAATAAGTAATCATTTGAATAGGGCAAAAGAAAACTGATCTGTTGTGGAAGTCTCAGCAAGAATCCATGAGGCCAGTACTAAGAAAGGTGCAGAGGAGGGAGAGGGTTAAGATTCAGGGAAGCTGACATCCTCAGGACTGGGTGAGGGCTAAGGGAGGAGCCCAGGGTGGCTTTGGGGTTTCTGCCCATGGTGATCTGCTGGTGTGGGGATCCCCACCACAGTAGGGCCGGCTGTGGTTAAGGCCAGCAGACTACCTATTAAAATGAATATTTGCACTTTTTGGTGCAAGCGCTTGGGACTTAGCGAGGGAATGGCAGACCTCAGAGGCTCAGGTGCTAAGAGAAGGATCAGTTTGACTAAATAAATTTTTTGAGGGGTGCCTGGGTGGCTCAGTCATTAATCATCTGCCTTCGGCTCAGTTCTTAATCCCAGGTCCTGGGATCGAGCCCCACATCGCGCTCCCTGCTTAGCAGAAAGCCGCCTTCTCCCTCTCCCACTCCCCCTGCTTGTCTTCCCTCTCTCGATGTCTCTCTCTCTCTCTCTCTCTGTCACATAAATAAATAAAATCTCTAAAAAAAATTTTTTAATTACATTTGAAATGAGGACGCTATTACTGCTTGGTAGAAATTGCATACACCTCATTTATTAAGTATTTGGTAAGCTCTGTGAGGGCAGAAACTCATCTTGATGTTGTGATCTCTCAGTACCTAGCATTTAACCTGGCTTTTTTTTTAGAAGGAGTGCTCTAAAATGGTTGTGGTTGAATGAATTATTCAAGCCAAACTCCCAGTAGTTCTTAAAAGAAGTTATTGCTGTAATCTGCTCAGGAAGCTCATCAAGCTGATTTGTAATCATTTGTAAATAGATGCTTCTAAAGTACTTAAAATAATGCTTTTCTCAAAAAAAAAAAAAAACCCACAAATGCGTGTCCTGAATTATTTTAAGACCACTGTCAATGTTTAGCAAATCCCCTTCTGCTTGTCACGTGTGAAATGAATCAGCTTGCCCCCCCCCATATGTATAGCATAAGTCACTCAAGAAACTGAGCTGATCTTATATACACTCTTCCCTTGGTCTTTCATGTGTATTTTGGTCTGCCTTATAATGTGATTTTCCCACTGTAGCATGTTTATCACTATAGTTCACGGAGCCCAGAAGATAAACTATTTGGACTATGAGGCTGTATTTAGGATGCTTTGAGGAGCTTGGGCTCTGGGACCAGCTGGTCTGGCTCTAAATCCCCATGTTACCATTTCCTAGCATGCCGATCAGGGTAGTCAAAGTGCTCCCCCTGACCCTGCCCCGAACTTACCTCTACGAACATGTTGAAAGGTTGTCATGAAGATAAAATCAAACAGTCGCGATCGAGAGCTTAGAACCCAACTCTGCACATAGAACTCAAATATTAGCCATTTTTAAACAATCCCATTTGTTGATTTCCTGGGACAGAGTGATTTCCAAATGTGCAGGATTTCCTGTGTCCCATTTATGATGAAATTTCTAAAGTTTACCTTGACTTGTGAATACCTTCCCTTTGAAAACCTCCTAGCACAAGTCAACTCTCTGTTCCTGGTCTCAGACAGAGAAAAAGAGACAGCTTGGGCTGAAGTTCAATCTCTGTGGAAAGGTCCTTTTGGCTAGCGTCAGCCTCTCTTTTTGACTTTTGACCTACTCTAAGTGATTTTAGGATCATGTGTGTTGAGTCCAGGGCCCTCGGGGATGATGTCAGCAGGCAGGTACCCAGCTGCTGGCCCGATGCTCGAAAGGAAATCATAGCAGGGCCTCTAGTCACTTCCAAATCACCTGTGGGGCAGTTTGCAGCTAAGTGACCCTTCCTGGCACCTCTGCCTAGAGTCCCGTGACAGGTTTGGCATCCCTGGGGAAGACACATGGGGGGTGTGACTGGTGCCGGTGAAGGGTGGTGGCGCGGGATTTCTTCTTCGGTCCTCCACGGTCCTTACCGGTGCTTACAGGTTGCCCATCCCCCACCTAACACCTCCAGACCAGAGAGAGGAGTGGAAATAAAGTGCTGGCGTGAAAACTCAGGAGAAGAACAGGTGTTTGTGATTGTTCGTGTGGTGTCAAAATTGAGTTAGTGCCAAATTACAGTCCTCAAACAGTAGAGGCCCACCAGTTCTCACAAGGCCTTGGACTAGACCCTATGCTCCCTCTCCCTCTCAGTGGTCAAGCCCTGAGCTACAGGAATCTTTGACACAAAAATACATGCGTATAGCAGTTCTTTTCTTTGGGGGCTTTGACGATTTTTATTTTTAGCTCTAAGTGTATTGCATTTTTTCCACCTGTGACTTTGTTTTGAGGCCATTGAGTCATATTTCACCTTTCTCGAGAAGTGCTCGTCTAAGGACTAGATAACTGAATTTCGGAAACCAATATCTAAAGTATGGAGATTTAGTCACCACATAACATTTTCTGAAGACTAAGAGAAAATGCAGACTCCAAGTTTAAAGTGTCAGGTTCTGTTTCAGAATTTTCACAGTTAACCCAAAGTTTTGCAAAGCGCTATTTTAAGCTGCCTTATTGACATTTCGAATGCGCAGGGGCTCTCTTCCCTTCCCTCATCCTCCTTCAAAGCCCCTCACCACCAGCTCCTCAAAAAGAAAGGAAAAGCAACCATTGCCCCTTGTTGGCAGTAGAATTTATTCACTAATTTACTTTCCAGCCAACTGCAGCCATTGCCTCTGGGCACTTGTTCAAAAACGCAGAAATGAAATAACAGATTGGCCAGGCTGAACACAACTCCCCAGTCACAACCCTATTATCTCCTCATTCTGTCACCCCCATTAGGCAGAAGCCCGGGAGACTGGATGGTGATAACACAGTGTTTATGCAGCTCCTTCGTGTCCACAGTTCGCGGCTTTCCTCTGGTGGCGTTCCCTCGTTCATCTGCGCGGGGGCTGGAGGAGAGTGAGGTCCGGGGCTTCAGGTGCCTAGGCCTTTCCACAGGCCTACCCTTGCCCATCTTTAAGGGCTCCCGTGCAGGGTGCCTGCCTGGGCATGAGCTCCTGAGTCCTGAGAAAGCCAGAGTTAGACGAAGGAACCAACTTGCTCTGTGTGCTTACCACCTACCTGCGAAGGAGTACGGTTGAAGCCGCATGTGTGGATTTCTCTGAATATCAAGCATCTCTCCATTTAGGTTATTTATAGCTGCTCTATTCAGGGCAGAGTCAAGCAGAGCAGTCGTTTTATTTAATATTGTGGGGCCTCTGCAGGGTCATCTGAAAAACACATTTCTCCGGACAGAATGAATGTGTAGCGGAGGGCGGTCTCTGTTTCAACTACAGGGGATTGTTTTCTGGTTATCGCCTTCTTTGTGCAGTTCCTCTTAAAATGATAGGCACAAGTGAGAAATGTTTGACGGGGGCATGGGATTGCTTCCCCACCCCCCTTGACCAACTATTTAAACAGAGAAGTTTTAGAACTCCCATGATGAGCAATCCAGAAGGAAAATGCCTTTCTCTTCTGAATAGTCTCTTCTATAGACTAGACCCTGCTCCTTGGGGTGGGTGGCTTCTTAGGATGGCTCACATCCCAGTGAGTTTCACCTTTCATTCCGTCTTCATTCCCTCCATCTGTTCAGTATAGTTCCATAATTATCTCTCTCATTAGTGAGTCATTCTTAGGGGAGGTGCAGCATCGGGGTGATGCTGACTGGTTTTGCCCCCAAACCCCCCTTTACCCAGTGTGCTTCCTGTCGGATGGTGTGGGGCTGCCAACAGCAGCCTCGCCCCCATGAGAACCCTTGATTCAGCCCTGCTCCGGCCATGTATTGGTCAAACCTGGAAGGCAGCATCGCTGTCAGGAGATGTGGTCTTGTGCTGGGCAAATGGGAAGGTGGAGAACACTCAACAGAATGCTGTTTGGACAGTTGCATTTTACAGGGTGGGGGAGGGGTTTGGGGAGGGCAAGCTGTCAGCTGCATTTTACAGGGTGGGGGAGGGGTGGGGGGAGGGCAGGCTGTCCCGTTCAGCATTTGGTTCAGGTTAATCCATCCTGGAGACCATTCTCATGTGAGGGTTCTGCTGGGAGTATGTGGGAATAGGCAGTCCCCTGCCTCGCCCTCCCCAGGGAAGAAAGAACCAGGGTAAAATGAGAACATTTAATTACGTGCATGATGGCTTCTGTCAAACATGTAATTGTTGTTTCTTCTTGCCGATAAAATCCTCACTACCCTGTCATTTGCTTTGCCTCTCAGCTCATACCCCAGACAACAGCTTTCTGGGATTCGTGGTCGAGCAGCACCTAAACTCCAGCGACATCCACCACATCAACGAAATCAAAAGGCAGAACCAGTCCCTTGTGTATGGCAAAGTGGATAGCTTCTGGAAGGTGAGTCAGTCTGTGTGTGCGTCGCTCTCTCCAAAACGAAGCTTGTTGGGTAATTTAATTTAACTTTGATCCAGGGAGTAATCAAGCCAAGTGCCCAGGGCTTAATGGGATCTGCTTAGAGGTAAACAAGGCTGTGCTGGGATTCGGTTCAGCATTTGGGTATCTAATAAAGGCTGTACCTGCTCGTTCGCACAGTGGCTACACAGCAAAGGCCTTCACTCTTTGCTGGAAATGTTATGTTACAGCTTCCTCCTGTCCTGTACTTCTGAAAACCGGGCCCCATGGGGGCAGATATCTTTCTGGAGCACGGCATTGCACCGAGAGCCCTCTGCAGTATAAGGGTAGGGCAGCCCTCTAGGTGTGGCTCTGGGGTGTGTGGTGGCTTTCACATCCTCTTGGCTGCGGTCAGCAACCCCGTACTGGTCAGGGCTGAACTACCAGAGAAAGGAAACCACCCACCCGCCATGGTTGACTGTAAGCACTTTACTCCAGGAGATCCTGGACCACACAGTATTCTTGGCCACAGGGAACCCTGAGACAGGGTTCCCAAAAGCATTGGACCTTGGGGCCTTCTGGATGGTTTCCAGAGTTCGTCTCGGGGAGGTACGGTGAGAGGGGGACCAGACCGAAACATGACCTGGTGCCCTGACCTCCAGACCTTTTTATTGGAAGTCTGCCTTTGTATGCCAGTGCCATCATTGTGATTGAGGACGTGTTTACACAGGACACAACAGTCTTCCAGGACTTGAAAACATGCCTCTTACAAAACCTAGAAGTAATCACTTTCCAGAATGGTCATGTACTGGGGTTTCATGTTGTTATGTCTCCTCTAATGAAGAAGTTAGAAATCCAAGCACTGAGTGAACACAAGTGATGTACGGGGTAAAGAACTCCCTGCTGTTTGTTTTCTGACCCCACGCGCGGAAAAGGAAAAGCCATGCTGCCCTCTCCTTACTAATGCTAAGGATGCCCAGGGGACAATTAAATCAGCCTATTTCCAGGGAAGCTGATTTAATTCCAGGTAACTGTCTTTGCTGTAAACAACTAGAATCCTCTCTTAGTTTAGTACAGTGACTGTCAAAGGAGTACAGTGTCACCTTCAGGGGGCACTTGGCAATGCCTGGAGCCATTATCGGTTGCAACGACAGAGGGAGGTGCCCTCGGCTTCCAGGGGGCAGAGGTCAAGGATACTGCTGACAGGACTTCCCCACAACAGAGGATAACCTGGCACAGAAGACGAGCTGTGCCGAGGTTGAAAGACCTCAGCTGGTAAAGAAGATTTATTTCCTCTGTATATTATTTCGCATTTTCTTCTCTCAAGGAAAATAAAATCAGTCAGGATTCTAAGTGGTTATTTAGGATGTTCCCATGAATTTACACACCTTAGCTTCCTTCTGCATCAGAACCTGCCCTGTGTTAACAGACCATCTTTCAGCTGACTTTCAGCCACACGGGTTCAAAAGGACATGCTGGGTGTTTTCATTCTCAGCTCAGGTGTGAAGTGGATGAATCAGGGCACTGGTTTTAAGAAGACATGGGCTCTTAGGGGGAAAAAAAAAAAAAAAGGCCTCCCTCCCTCTTCTCCTCCACACCTTCTCAAAGAAAATTGTTTGCATGTCTATGTGGACTTGACCTTGCAATTATATCACTTCTGTTTTGGAACCAAGTGCAGCTTCCTTTTAGGTGCCTCTGGCAATTTTTCAGTTTCCCTAGAAAAACAAGATAATAAATTGGTTCTGAAACCTTCTTGGTCACCCTTTTTTGTTGTTGTTGTTGGATAAAGTAATACCACCACTGAAAGAATGGTTTTCTTGATGCCGGTCAGAATCCCGAAGCGTTAGTCATGCTGACCCAAGTGATTTGTGGCATGATTTGGAAGTCCCTCTGACACTCTGCAGATGACCCAGCCTTCCTCTTACTGGGTGTCGTCCAAGTATCACAGAAGGCTGAGTGGCAGCCTGTCTATGTTAGCCTTTGTCCGAATACCCCAAACCTGGAGTGGTCAGTTTTCTGTATCATCATTGCCCTGTATTTTTAGATGAGAAAGGCCCCAAAAGGTGGAAAATTCTGTGAACTTTTTACACGGATTCAGGCATGTCAAACTTCTCAACACAGTACAGGATGTGAGAATTGTTGCTTTGTTACAAATATTGTAACATATGAGAATTGTTACTTGCAACAAAGCCTCCCCGTGATCGTGCACAGAAGACAGGAGGCCATAAGCGGGGTGCCCCTGCGCCCTCATTCCCAGGGTGGCATTCATCACTGACTTCAGCCAGCAGGAAGCTGTAGATGTTTTTCCTCTCCCTTGCCCCAGTGTCTCCCCACCCAATCTCCTATGCCTCTGACTTCTTTGGAAAGGGGTGTGACCCTGTGCATCTCGGGGGGTTGAGGAATTTAGGGGTGGCGTGTGGGCAGGTGCAGGATTGGAGCTGACCCTCTGGAGAGCTCCTCCTCCCTCAGATTCTAGGACTCACTGAAATCCTGAAGGTACTTGCTGTGCCGTCAATCCTATTCCATGTCATCCCCTCTCCTGCGGGACTGTCCCCAGCTGCTGGGGCACTCGAGTGGGAGATGCCACCACACACCACACACCCAATCTTGGCTGATTGGTCCAGAGGGCAGTGTAGCTCTTTGGTGCCTGGCAGCCATGATTCTGGCTCAGGAAACCTCTCAGGAACAGTGAGATTCTTCACATAGCATTGGAAAACAGAGGGACCGTGAGTCATGGGGATGGAAATCCAAAGGACAGATCCAGAGTTGTGAGGAGTCTGAGGCAGAAGCTTCCCAGGAGTGCGAGGATGAGGAGCGGGACTGATTTGGAAAGGGAGAGGCTGCTGTAGAGCAGATGATGGAGCAGAACTGCAGGGAGGAGAGGTGGCCCCTGAGAGAGGTGGGGTGCTCTAGAGGAGCAGGTAGGAAGGAGGACAGACAGAAGCAAACCATGCAATGTGGAGGGAAAGAGAAAGGAGCGGCCAGAGTTCCTCAAAGCTTTCTTTTTGCAGATTGTACATCCTTCTATCACACTCTAGTCCCTTGCAGTATCCTGAGTGGTTTCTGTTCCTTGTGGTCCTATCAGGATATGGGTCTTCCCTACGTTGCAGACGCCTATCAGGAAACATGATCTGTTAAGTGTAGAAGCTGTGAAGGAATGGGCTATGTCTTCAGCTCCCCCTAGTTCCACCCCCAGTTCATGGCAGAGGTACCCTGTAGTCCTGTCCTGCTATAGTGGTACAGAGGAGAGGTGGAAGGGAACCTTCCTGCCAGAATCCCAAAGGCACCAACTCAGGAAGCAACACTGTCCAAGACCCTTACCATCAAATGAGACTGCTTACAGCCTGATCCCAGGTGCAGAGGTCTGTGTTAGCCCAAGAACCCTTGGGGCTGTGTTCTGGATATCTGCCTCTGGGACAGACTGGTTGTTGGCACCCGCTAACATGTGCCTACAAGAAGAGTCTGTCTAGTGTGGCTGAATTCAAAGGTCTTCCACATCCTATTACTAAGATCATGAGAGAATGAAAAATTCGTCAATTTTGTAAAAATAAGACATTTAAAAAATTGTGGAAATTAAAGTCAGTTGAAGGCTGGCTTTAACTGAATTTTTTCTACCCATACTTCTTTAAAAAACAGCATCTGGAGTGTAACCGAATCTTGTAATGATGATGCAGGGTCTTACTTTTACGTATTTGGGATCCCGTCTTGAAGCCCTCGTTACTTACTGTTGCGCAATTGCTGTGGAAGTAAATGTCTTGAAGGGTTTGCTTTGAGCACCTCTGGGGCGTAAGCACAGCCTCTGAAGGACGCGCTGGGGTTCAGCCCGTGCCTGCCAGCTCACCAGCATGTGAGGTGCTTAACTGCCTTGAGCCTCAGGCTCCCGGCCTATGAAATGGGAGCAGTGACAGCGACCACATAGAGCAGGGCTTCTCGGACTTCCTGTTGCATGTGAATCACCCAACGTGCTGTGAAAAATGCCGATTCTGATGCAGACCTTCTGGGCCAGGGTGGAGACCCTGCATTTCACACAGGTACCCAGGCCATGCCGACATGCTGGTGACAAAAGTGCCCTTCGGGTAGTGTGGCCTTGGCAGGTATGGGATGGCGTGAGGTGCTTGGCATTGACTCACTGGCCAACCAGGGAACACATCATTCCTTGTTCCCCATTCCTTTTGCTTTCCTGCTCCACTTGTCAGCAGGCTGCCAAGTATCATGTCTTCACTACTGATGCACCTGATTCTGATGACCCCCTCCACCCACCCTGGCCCAGTCTCACTTCCTGCTAAGCACATTCGAGGCCTTGTCTTCCAGCCTCTGTGCCTGGCCTCTTAGAATGCGATACACCTCTGGTAAGTGGTGGACTGTGGGAGCCGACAGGTGTGGTCTTTTTCTCGTCACCTGCTGTCCTGCTTCATACCTTGCGTGCCTGCTGGGCAGTATGGCAGAGTGATCGAGGACACGCACTGGAGTCAGATGGCCCAGTTCAAGTCCTGCGGCTGCTATCCGCTGCCTAAGCACCGGCAAATTCTCTTGGCCTCTTTTCATGGAGATGATAGTTAGGTTTCTCTAGTGGCTAAGTGAGTTTGTACGTTCAAGGTGGTCTGTCTTAACTGTTTGCTGCTATTACGGATATTGTTCCTGGGGCCAGACAGACACAGAGGGGGCTGATGGGAGCATGAGGTAAGGGATAGAGCTGTGAGGAATGGGCAAATATAAGGCTGCCCAAAGATACTCCGATTCCAGTTTTTGAACTATGTCAGTGGTTGGCAAACTCTGGGTCTCTAGCCAAATCTGGCCCGCCTGCCACCTGTTTCAATAAACGAAGTTTTATCAGAATACTGCTACACCGGTTTGTTGCCTGGGGGCTGCTTTTGCTCCAAAATGACAGCGTGGCATAGCTGTGACTAAGACTCCAGGAACAGCAAAGCCTGACTTATCATCGGACACTTGACAGGAAGAAGTTTGCCAACCCCGAAACGACACCATGTCCCAGGTAAACCAAGCCT